TTACATGCCGGGATATTTTGGACTTAAGTTTTTATTTTTTTAATTCTCATTCATTGTCGTTATTCACATTCTAGATGTTGTTTTGGTCTCTCAGTATGTGTTACCGAAAAGTAATTAGAATAACTTGTTGCGTCAATCCTTTTCTCGGTGATTCACTCTTCCCTTGCTAACCCTAATTCTAGGTCAGTTTGGCGCCAAATCATATGCATTATCGTTTATACCACTCATCATTCATTTTATGGGCTGCATTTTATAACCCATTTTTATATACAACTTACAATTTTGTTGGAACTTCGTATTTTTAACCCCACCGCATGATTTATCATTCAATTATAACCGTCATTTAGGTGGACTTGTTTTATTTTACTCATCACACAACTCATCCTAACTTAAAGTGTTTAGATGGCTTCGCTTATAAAATCCACTACATCTCAAATCTTACTCTAGGGCTTCGTTTAATTTAAACTCCGGACACAAAGGGGGGTTTTCGACTCATATCTCAGACAGGCCAATTGTTATGTGTTGCTACGACCTTTCTTGTCTCCCGGTTTTTTTCGACGCATTTTTGGGAAGTTTTCTTCCTTTTACCTTTTAGCCTTTTCTCACTATTGGATTCGAGGATTATATAAATGTTATAATGGGTCCTCATCATCTATCATTATTTACTATCAAGATTTACTTTGGCGCTCGTGATTATTGCCTCTTCTCCCCCATTCTGTATTTGGGCTATTCTCAATTTTTCTCCCTACCCCCTTTTACATAATATCGTCGCCCCTCTATCGCACTATTTATTTTAAATTCCAAATTCTTACATGTTATTTTTTAATATTCTTCCTCCTCTCTTTCCAATATAAACGTTCTTATTCATAGTTTCTTATTTTTATTATCGCCTTAGCGGCTTTTCGGTGTACCTGAATCTCCTTTTCCTCCATATAGTTTTTGGGGTTTATATTTCTCTCTCATATATAAAATTCGCATTTTTTCGGATTACTCTAATTCCGGCACATCACATCGAATATTCTAGAAACGGAATAACACGCCACACTCGACAAATTCCTTATTATAGATCACCTTACAATAATAGCCGTGTTATAAATTACTTTTTAATTATTATTTTCTTCTTATTCATGTTCGTTATATGTAGTGTTATTGAGTTTCTGGTCAAATTATTCGATTGCGTGTTGATATTGCTAATTATATAGGCACCATTGCATTGACGGGCGCGGGGGTTTGTTCTAATATTCATTTTTCCTTTCTAGAACACTTTCTTAAACCATCGTTTGGGCTCTCGAATCGTCTAGAGTGGTTACTGTCTATCGGTTTGTCTGATCCTCTCTCTCTTTTCTCTCGTCTCTTCATCTTTCTGTCTTCTCTCTCTCTCTCTACTCTCATCTTCTTAAATCTATCTCTCTTCCTCTCCTCTCTCTTCTCAGTCTCTCTCTCTCTTTATTCCTCTCATTCTTGTGAATATGGTGCAATATCATCTTCTCTCAATCTCTCTCTTCATCTCGATTCTCTCTGCTCGTTCTTTCTTTCCTTTAACCTACTTTCACCCTTTTATCCCCCCCTCTCTCTCTCTGCCGTTGTCTCCTGTCTCTCTTGGCCTCTCTCTCTGCCAATTGTTGGTTCCTCATACCACATTTACTTCGCTCTTCTCTCTCTACCTCCTCATAATTACCTCTATTAATTATGTCATTTCATTGTCATTCATTAGCGATTGGGTTTATCATCAAAACTCATTCGCCTACCGCTACATTAGCCAGTGAATTTTCTCTCGTTCTCTAATATATATAATTAGAGTATATATATATTATATAATTGATAAACATATCGATCATTAATATTAATACCATATAGTAGATATATATATACATGTTATATTATAAAAGCGTTATATATGGTGTGAAAAAGGGTGGGTATTTTTCACGAAGTTTCAATATTACTACTCTCAAGAATTAAGCTGTATAGGTTAAGTATGATATATAATAATTAATATTATATTATTTTGCTTAATAGTATAATATAATATATTAATTTATACTAATCGCCGTGTATGTCTCTACGGACTTTGTTGAATTTTTCTCCTCTTGGAACCAACATCTCCTCTTCCCACTACGCCTTTTGGCCTCATTATAGATGGGCTTTATAATGATCCTAATTATCATGCATTATTGTCATTATCATCATCATTATTATCATTACTGTCATTAATTGTATTTCTCGACGCCTCCACTATATTACGCACACCTTCCTCCTTAATATAGTCACTTATACATAATCACTTATCTAAAATTATTAATGTCATTTCACTTTATTTCCTCGATGTATCTCCTATCTCTTTTAATTTTATTGGGGCCATTCAGGGAGTTTGTTATCCGTCCTTAATTAATCCCCTCCCTGTACCCACCTCACCCCCCCCCTTCCTCGGCCCCAACAGCTCCCCCTTACCTCCCTTCCCTGCCCTATACCCCCAGCCCCCAAAAGCTCCCGCCTTACCTCC